ATAGAGGACATATTGTCTTACAGATTTCACTTTTAGAATTAGTGGCACAGGGCTCTGACTTCCACTTAGAACCAGAGTGTTTCAGTGCTGTGCAAAGTGTGAAATTCGTGTCCGGTGACTTCACTGCATGAGGAAATCCATCATCTTGTGCTCTTGTGGGTCTGTGTCACTTGCTACCAGTCAGACCAGTGGATGGGCCATTCATAGCAATCAATAAATACTGTCCAGAGACAGGGTTGACAGCAGTGAACAAGAGAGACAAAGTTCCAGCCCTCCTAAGGCTTGTGTTGTGGAGTGGAGAGGCATGCAATGAACAAGGAAACAAAACAGTTTTAGATGGTGGTAAGTTCTGTAGAGAAAATAGAACATCAGACAAGTAAATAATTACAGTAAGGTGAGTGTTAGGATTGGGAAGTACAAGGCACTATGGAGACAACAGCAGGGGTGGGGCAGAGCATTCCCGATGACCTGGGAGGGATTCACCCTGCACCGTCCTCTTCTATGCTGCTCCTTCATCCATTCCAAGGGCTTCAGAAGCCACCAAGGTCTACACATCAGTGCTAACTCCATGCTTTCATGGGGCTGCCTTCCAGTCATTGCCACTGGGCTATTGGGAAGTTTTATAAGCACTTCAAGTCACCTCTGCCTTGCTGCCAGATCTTCCCTCCTCCCCCCATCAGACAGTCTCTGTGAATGGTGTCAATAGCCCAAGTCAGAAACCTGTACATCACTCCACCCTGCCCCTCACTGGGCACATCCAGCTAACACCAAAGCTGATAGATGTGATCTCCTCAGTATCTCCTGAACCCAGTCACTTCTTCCTGCCCCCACTGACATGTCCCTATTTCAGGGAATCCATCAGGATTCCTCCCCCCCACTTCAGTGACCACCACCTCTAGCAACCAACCCCCATCCTGGTGTCACACTGTGGCCACACTGGTATCTCCAAAATACAAATGTAGTCCTGTATTCAAATCCCTTCCAGGATGGGATTAGCATGACCTGATCCTCACCTACCTCCCAAAGAAGTTGCTTGTTACTCCTCCCTCCCGTTCTATGTGCAGCCATGCCAGGCTCCAGACCCCAAACATACCACAGAGGCTCCTATGTCTATAACACCCCTCAACCCCCCTGCCTGCTGAATCCAGTTCCTGGCTTAGTCATCACTTCCTGGAGGAGGCCTGCCTTGACACCAGCCTCTTGGGCTCAGCTTCACGTCCCCGCTCTTGGTTCCCACAGTACTCACACTTTCTCCACCGCCCCCTGTGTATTTATTTTGGAAGATAGGAGCTGGGTCACTCACTGTTGTGTCCACAGTGCCTGTGGAGTGCAAGAGTGCTACACTGCACCCTAGTTGTCCTCCTCTCTCAAAGTGGAGACAACAATAATACATGTTAGCTGTATCGTGAGGATCAAATGAGATAATGCGTGGAAAACACCTATCACAGTCAATACATAAAGAGTAAATGGTAGCTATTATTACTATATGATGTTGTTCATACTGAATCTAAACAAACATTTTATTGAAGTTTGAAATACATTCAGGAAAATACATAAAATCATAAGCATACAGAGCTCAGTGAATTTTCACAAATGAATGCACCCTTGTCACTGACCCCCAGATAGCACTGTTTTATTTTATTTTTCTTTATTGAAGTGTAGTTGATTTACAATGCTGTGTTAGTTTCAGGTGTACAGCAAAGTGATTCAGTTTATATATATAAACATATTCTTTTTCAGATTCTTTTCCATTATATGTTATTACAAAATATTATAGTTCCCTGTGCTATACAGTAGGTCCTTTTTGTTTATCTATTTTATATATAGTAGTGTGTATCTGTTAATCCCAAACTCCTAATTTATCCCTCACCCCCTTTGCCCTTTGGTAACCATAAGTTTGTTTTCTATGTCTGTGAGTCTGTTTCTGTTTTTGATTGGTAAGTAAGTTCATTTGTATCATTTTTTTAGATTCCACATATAAATGATATCATATGATATTTGTCTGACTTTATTTAGTGTGATAATCTCTAGGTCCATCCATGTTGCTGCAAATGGTATTATTTCATGCTTTTTTATGGCTGGGTAATATTCCACTATATATATGTACCACATTTTCTTTATCCATTCACCAGTCGATGGACATTTAGGTTGCTTCCATGTCTTGGCTATTGTAAATAGTGCTGCTCTAAACATTGGGATGCATGTATCTTTTCGAATTAGAGTTTTCGTCTTTTCTGGATATATGCCCAGGAGTGGGATTGCTGGATCATATGGTAACTCTATTTTTAGTTTTCTAAGGCACCTCCATACTGTTCTCCGTAGTGGCTGCACCAATTTACATTCCCACCAACAGCAGATAGCACTATTTTAAAGCTCAGATGTTACCTCTCAGAGATGCCCTCCCTTATGTCCCACCCCCTACATAGCACTCATCATCAGACATCCTAAATAACCTAATTATATATTTTATATATTATCTGTCTCACCTCACTCCAACATAAACTACAGGAGAGCATGATTCTTTTTAGTCTATTTTGTTCACTGCTGTATCCTCAGCTCCTAGAATAGTGCTAAGCACATAGTAGGTATGCAACAAAAATTTATACTAAAGAATGAATGAATAAGTGCTTATATTCATTTCTTTAAGCTCCTGGGTGCTGCAGCACTGTCATGTCTAAGAAACAGTACCCTCCCAGGTTAGACAGCACAGGGCAGGGACCTAGCCTAGCCTGCGCCCTGAACTGTGCACGGCACGCATCTGCGCGGCCCACCTGAGTTCTTTCTCCTCACTCCTCCCTGGCGAGTCTGGCCCACCCCGCCCCAATTTTGCGTGCATAATAATTAAAATAAGAATAATAGCAACAGCCATAACAGTCTCGTCCGCCCTCTGGAGACAACCCGGCCCCTGGCATCCCTCAAGGATTTTCCCAGGGCCTGAAGCACGAGCTTCCCCGCAACCACCGGAAGGCACCTCGTCAAGCTCCCCGCCAAGTCTTCTGTCTCCCAATGGGCCCCTGCAGCTGGCTGATGGAGGTTTTTATCATCCGCCCCATTTCGTCCAGGGAAAAACGGAGGCTGCGAAAGGAGAACCCGGCCTCTCTGATCTCCTGACTTGGAATCCCGCGGTCTTTGCCACCACGCACACCACGACCACGTGCGGTGATCACCACCGTCGCCTTTGGTTGGTTTCATACCCCCCTTCCCTTCACCAACCATCGCGGTCGGAAAGAATGTGCCTGGCGCTGCTCTGGGCTCTGAGCAAACGGCTGTGCACGGTGTTCCTGCAGGAACAAACGGGTTATGAACCAGGCACCGGCCGGGGCAAGAGGGGCGCCTCACACAGAGTGGTCAGGCGCACTCCGAGGAGGCGACGCTAGCTGAGATCAGGGTGATGGGAAAGAGCCGGTCACGCGGGCACATGTTGGGGGGAGGTAGATGGTAAGGAGAGTTCCAAGTAGAGAGAACAGCGAATACTCAGCCCCTTTTACATCCACTACCTCGTTTAATTTTACCCCACACTTTGAGAGGGGACACTTTGCCCCATTTTACAGACGAGGAAACTGAGGCCCATAAAGAGTAGGGCATTTACCGAATGGGATTCGAACCCAGCTCTCTGAAATACGCTAAGCCCGGACTCTCCAGCCCGCGTTCCGCGCCGCCTCTTTTCTTCCGCACCGTGACCTTAACTCGGCACGTGCTGGCCCCTCGCCCCCCAGCCCAACATTGTCCCACTTAGGAGGGCAGACTGGGGGGCTTTCGGAGGGACCGCGGAAGTCGCGCCCTGCTTGGGGTCCCGGGTTAGAGACTCCCTCGCCCTGAGTTAGGGACCCCTCCCGCGCGCCCCGCCCCTTCCGCGGCCGGGCCGGCGCTGCCTCTGTCCATGGTCAAAGCACCCGGGTAATCCGCCTTTCTCTTCCGCCCGCCGAGCCCCATTCATATTCTAATCACAGCGCGGCCGGCCCGCGAACGGCCACTTTATCGGGGCCCGCGGAGACGCAGCCGGCCCCCCCCACTTCCACTTCCAGCCCCCCAGCTCCTCGCCCCCCTCTTTCTGCACTCTACACTCAGCCGAGGAGGGGGTCCCTGGGAAAACCGCGTTCCCACTCGCAGGCCCGGGCTTCTCGCAAACTTCGTGGCTGGCTGGGGGCGGGGGCTGGAGGAGGGAGGAAGGGACCGAGACACAGACAGACTGACAGACAGAGTTACGGGAAGAGGCGGGGGCTGCGGGGAGTGTCAGAGAGACCAAGGGGGATAGAGACAGAGAGGGGCAGAGTCCTAGGGAGAGACAAAGAGGTGAGGGGGCAGGGGCTGGACCGAAACGCACGCAGCCCAAACCGGAGACATAGAGGGACACAGAGGACGAGGGAAGGACAGAGGGAGACAGAGACAGGGAGGCAGGCGGAGAGAGAGAGGCAGATACACCCAGAAGATAGAGAAAGTTCTGGAGATGAGTCAGCACCTCACACCCTCCCTGCCAAGCGGCCTTCTCGCCGCCCGGGGTGGGGGTGGGGTCTTAGGGCTGCAGTTCCCCTTCCCCTCCCCTTTCAGCGCTCTCCACTCCCCCACGCGTGTCCGCGGATCCGCGTGGAAGGGAGTCAAGGCTTACCTCATCCCCAGGGCTCCCACTCAAAATCTAACCCGGGACCAAACTTGGGGGGCCCAAGAGAAGCGGGAAAGGAGTGGGGCCCACTCGTGGCCGCGTAGGCGACTCACCAGGCTCCTCGGAGCCCCCTGCCCACCCCCCAAGCCTGCGCCGCGCCTGGCCGGATCGGGGGAGGGGGGCAGGGGGGAGGGGGCCACATCTAAGCCAATTTTGATTTCGCCTATAATGAGTGCCGGGCGAAGGCTGGAGAAGGCCTCTGGAACTTTAAATAAGAAAAACGTTGCTAATGCTATAATAGAAGGGGGAAGTCGGAGGGCTGGGATTGCGTCGCTCTGAGCCCCCCTTTTCGGAGGCGGCTTTTCTTATTCAAAACAGGCCCACAATGGGCTTCACAGTGCGCCTCGCCACGGCCCCATCTGACGAGCGGCCATTCATCAGGCCGGCTGGCCTATCAATGACATTGCTCCCATCGGGGCTCCTATAAAATGATGCTTTTTCCCATGAAACATCCGCAAACATTTTGACGGGTTTGGCTTTGCCCGGCTGGATTACTGAGTGTCCCCTTGCTCGCTCGCTCTTTCTCTCTCCCCCTTCTCCGAGCTCTCTCCCTTCTCTCTCTCTCTCCTCTTTTCTTCTTTCTCTGTTCGCCTTTCTCTTTCTGCCTTTTCCTTTTCTTCTTTATCCTTCCGTCCTTGCACTCTCTGCGTCTCTTTCTCCTTTTCCCCTCCTTCCTCCCTTCCTCCCTGGGCAGCTCTAGCACAGGGGACCCCCAAACATCAGGACTTTTGGGGGGCGCCTGTGCTGTCCATGGGAAGAGCATGCATTGTGGGTTACTGGAGGAACCCGACATGGATTCCACAGGTTAGTCCTACTGGTGGGGGTTGGGGGGAGACATTGGGAGGGAAAGAAGAGGTAGAAGGGGAACTTCAGCAAGAGTCGCAAAAAGTTCAGAAGGGTCAACTTGACAGCGGAACCCCAGGAAATAACGGAGCCTGCAGAAGTTTTCAATCCCATGCGATGTGCGATGTCTGTAAGCGGATGCGTGGAAGTGTGCGCGTGTGTAAGCGTGTGACTGTATGTGTAAATGTGTGTGTGTGCGCGCGCGCTGAGGAGCGCGCTCTTGCTAGCCGCGGACACAAAGTTATGTAAAGATTCGCTGGCTCGCGGCGAGCTCGAGGTGCCACTTGCAGAAACTTTGCGAGCCGACCGCCCCCTCCCGGGCCCGGCTCCTCCCCCGGTTTGGGGGCCCCGGAATAGCGGTGCGCTCTGGAGCTGGTGGCTAGGGCCAGGAAGCCGAGCGGAACGCCCCAGAGGCGGGGGAGGGCGACGGCTCCGCACAGCGCCTGGGAGGTGGGGACAGAGGCTCCGACTGGTAGAGATGCGCAGCTGGAGGGAGTGGCGGCGGCGAACCCGGTGGTCCTGGGGAATCCGCGCCCGGTCTGGAGGAGGGAGCCCCGGGCCGTCCGAGGCGGGGTGTAGCCTCCTTGCCCGGAAGGGACACCCGACGATGCGCTCCGCTTGGGGATTGTAATTCTGCTGAAGGGAGGACAAGACGCTGAGCGGCTGGCGAGGCCTGGCGTCTGGGTCTGCAAACTGCTCGGCACTTTGGGGTCTGTTGGCTGTGGGCATCAGGTTTTGGGGTTGCGGCCGTCCGTAACAACAGAGAAAGCAAGCCAAGGAATCTCTTACAACGAAAAAGCCCAGCGTCTCGGTTCTTTCTCCAGTAGAGTCTTCGCCACCTCCCAGTTCTAGCGCCTTTGAAGAGCCGCCAAACTTCTAGATCAGAGTTATGCTCCCTGTGCCCCTTCCAGGTGAAAGAAATTCTCTGGAAGTTCACCTCCTCCCCCAGCCGCAGTCTTCCAACCAGTGCAGTCCTGTCCCGGCTTGGTTGCAGCCTTGGAGTTTCGTGGGGAGAGGCAGAAACAGGGCAGTGAGAGCAGCCTGGGCCGAGGCAGCAGCTTGACGCGATGCTTGAGGGGATGCCTACGAGCATCCGCTGCTGGACTTTGCAGCGCGGAGCAACAAGTGCCTTCCAGTCTCTGCCATCCCCTAACACACGCGCGACTCCTCCCTGAGCAAATAAACACCACAAGATTGTTTCCCCATCTCCACTCCGAAGCAGGCTGGAAATGGATGTGGGGTGGGAGTAGGGGTCATCTGGGCATTGCCCCAGATGGTCTTTCTTCCGTCCTTGCAGATAGATTTCCAGCCTCTCCTGGCTTCTGCTGGGGCCCTGGTGGACAAGACGCCCACCCCCTCTGGCCAGGGGTATATTTGATTTTCCAGGGTAATTGTCTATCTCTGATCTCAAGAGCTAAGTCCTTCTCCACTGTGCTCCCCCGAGTGGGTGTGGGTCCCCTGGGAGTGGGGAAAGGCTGAGCCCCGAAGAACTCCTTACTATGTGCAATGACTAATGAAGGTAAGGAGAGGCGTCGCCTGCCGCCCGCCGGCTGCGGGTGCGCGGCCAGCCCTGCTGGATCCTCTCCGCTGGCGGTAAAGAGGGCGCCCAGAGAGGGAAAAGAGACCCTCCCTACATACTGCTATGCCAAGTGTTAGTGCCACTACGCACCTCCTGGGCACCCCAACTTTAGAGGTGAATATCCTTGAACAAAATTAAACCCATGTCTGCATGGTTTGTGACCAAGTATTTGCAAGGGGTTCACGTAGGGACTTGGGGTCTCCATGCCCCGCACCAGCCATGGCCCAGCTGGGGGTTTTAGCCACCCCTTCCACACGACTGGAGCTTCTCGGTGCGTTCTGGGGAGAGCTGTGGGGTTGTGGAAACGTTCTGTTTTCTGTCCTCTAGCTAGTGGTCGTGGAGACGCCTGGTCATTACTTACAGCAGACACCCGCAACGGGTTCTGAAATCTTTTCTCCCATCCACTCCCCTCCCCTTTTCGAAAATCTGAGACATCCCTAGATCGCCATCCTGAACTCAAAAAGTTCTGGGAAACGGCAGCGTGAAGAAATGACACGAGGCGCACCAGGTGACATTTTCACTCGGGCTTGCAAAACCGACGACAAGGGAAGTGCGGCTCGGCGCGGTCCGGTCCAGGACCTTCCCTCACCTCGCTTCCAGAGAACTTAATCCAATTAGCTTTTCTTTGGAGTTTCCCTTTTTATGTAAAGGTCCTTTCTCCCCGTCTTGCTGAGACCTGCGCTCCTTGGAGCAGTTCGATTCTGCTCCTTTTACGGCAGATTGCGCGCAAATCTTACGGCAGAACCACGAATATTATCGTTATTATTATTTCATTCCGAAAGGGCTGGAACGATCGATTCGCAGCAAGTGCTGGGGCGATGTCCGGAGCGTCCGGGGTCGGAGCGGCCGGCGGGCCAGGCCTCCGTCCCTTCCTCTTAAAAGGAAAATCACCGCAAAGTGCCTCGGGCCCGGGAGGACAGTTTTGCAGGGGCCGGGGCTCTAGTGGTCCGCCTGGGGGCCCCTTCAGCGTGGCCTGCGGAAACGCGCCCCTTTGTTCCGCGCACCGAGGCGGTAATATATTCCTCAAGTTTTCCCAAAATACTCAACAAGTGTGAGGGCTGAGACAATGCCCCGTCGGAGGAGGCCGGGGAGCCGGCGCGCGCCTCTGGGCCCTGGCCTAGCCCGCCGCCGAGTGCCACAAAGCAGAGCTCCTCTCACAGGAGGTCCGCAGCGCGACCGGGCTCGGGGAGGCGGCGGAGGCCGCAGGCGCACGCGTGGGGCGGTTGACGCGCCCTCCGCCCGGCGCGCGGTTTGCAGCTGCGTCGCTGCCGGCTCGCGCCTCAGCCCCGCGCCGCGCAGTCTGCGCCGAGCCCCGTGTGGCCCGCCGTCCCCACGCGGGCCGCCGCCGGCGCTTAACGTATTCGTGGCCTGTGGCTCCAATCCCGGCTGCCCCTCCCCGACGAGCGTTGCTCAGTTACTCAAGGTACCTGGAAATTCGAGAACGAGGGGCGGGGTGGGGGGAAAGTAGGTAGAGTTTTAGGCCACAGAGAACTTGTGCAAAGTGGGCCGGGGCCAGGTTGGTCGCCTGCGCAACAGTAAGGGTTGTTTCTTGTTAAACGGGACGGCGCCTTACGGAGGGGCAGTGACGAACCCGACCTGGAAACTTCTGCCTCTACCCGCTTTCCGCCGCGACCTCCAAAACCCAGAGCGGCCAAAGCACCCCTAGAGCCGGATTTGAGCTCCCTGGGCTACAACGGCGGGAAGACACTCTGGTCTACAGGCCTCCGGCTCAGCACAAGGCCCGACCTGGCTCCGAGGGCCCGCAGGTGGGGACCTTCAGTGGCTTTGGCGTGGGGCCGGCGGGGCATAGAGCGCCCGGGTGGGAGGAGGCCCCGGGCCTAGGAAAGCAGCCGTCTTCTCCAGCCCCGGGACTCGGACTGCGAGCTCGGGGAACAAGGGGTCGGAGCTGTGAACTTTGCCCCCGCGCCCAAATCAGACTGTCTCGCCCTCCCCGGCCGTGTGTGTGTGTGTGTGTGTGTGTGGCCGGTAAAGGGGGCATGCTCGCGCCACCCTCGCCACCTGCCAAGTGCCGACGTCTGGGTTTGGCATCAGGGTCAACTAAGAGCCGCGTGGTCCCCAGGTCCCCAGTCCGGGTGGCTGCAGCACTAGCCAGCGCGGACGCGGCGTGCAGGCCGGGCTCGGGGAGCCCCGCACGCGACTTGGTGCGGCGGCCCGGGACAGCGCGCTTTCCCACCCGGCCTGTGGGTCCTGGAGACCCGGAAAACTTTGCAGGGCCCGCCCGGCGACTAGGCCCTGGGATTTCCATAGCTGCGCCCGCCCCCCTCCCCAGCGCGTCGCCATGGAGACTGCTGGAAGTTGGTGGTGGAAAACAGACCCAGCGCAAAGCAAAATATTATGAGTGCAGTTGGGGTGACTTCAGGGGGGGCAGGGGACCGGAGGGCATGAGCGGGAGCCAGAGGCAGAGGCCGACAACAAAAGGCCGAGTACGAGGAGGAGAGAGGAGTTTGCACGGGGCCTCCCCGCCGCTGTGTGAGAGCTGGACCATCCTGCTTCCCAGAGGCGCCGAGGTCTCTAATTTCTCTCCAGCAGCTACACCTTTTCTCAGCCCGCCTGCGCGCCCTGTCTCCCACCCCTCCTCCTCCGGGTTCTCGTCCAGCCTCCCTCCCCATCCCGAAGTTAGGCGCCAGCTGGGCAGTGCGCCCGCCCCCACCACCACGAGCCACAGGCTCACCAACGTGAAAGGTTCTGGCTTTTCTTCCCCACGACCCGTGGGTCGCCCCAGATGAATTTCTCATCGCCCCCCGCCCCAACTGGATCTGAAAGGGCAAGGGGTTAGGATAAGGCGGGAAAGAGAAGAGAAGGAGGTGCCTGGTCAGAAATCTTGGAGGGGTGGGGAGGGTACTGAAGAGAAGATCCTCCCAATTTTTTTCTCCTTTGTACAGTGGGGAAAGCTCGGGGTTATCATTCTGACTCAGCCACTTGTAATGATACTTTAGGTAAACCTTCTAGCCTTTACAAGATTAATTTTAATTGCCTGTAAAATGAAGGGTAAGACAGCTCACAGACTGGGATTCTCTGACAAGTTAGACATATCCCTCTTTACTATAGAACCCAGGTTACCACTATCTGAACTATGATCCACTGCACAATTAGTGACTCTCTCCCCAAACGAATAATATACTAAAATATTTTTACAAGTCATTTAGGATTTTAAGAGTCAAGAACCTTGAATAACCCCCTTTTAAGGACCTGTAATTGCCTTTCTCAGTTACACCTGAGGTGCTTTCCTTAAGGCGTTAGATTTTATGGGGCTGTACCCGGCGTCAACACTGAAATGCCTCTGGGTGGTGAAGTCAGCATCACAGACCCCCACAAATGCTGGATAAGAAGCCACACTGGCCCATGTGGTGAGATGTTGCTA